ACAGGCAACTGATGTCTACTTCAGGAGTTAATTTAAAAATGAAATTAAAATGCAGCCTTCTTGATTCTTAGATCATTGCTTGCCTTGCAAATTAGCTTTAACCGTTCATTTCTCCAACTAAGCACTGTTATTTTCCAAGCCTAATGCCTTGAACCAATATGGTGCTATTATACTTACAGACATACCACATAATCTAATTTAAAAGTGGTCAGTTTAATGCTTTTGGGGTTGTCATTGTTGTTGCAGTAATTATTTGCTGATGTTTACTTAGACACATTAAGTAAAGAAAAACTGCGTAACTACTCAGGTCACTCCTGGGCAACATTTTGTTTCTGGAGGTGTTTCAAGAGCGTTAATGGGAACTCACAAGGGATCTCCAGACCATGAGAGGCAGGTCAGCTTGTTTTTTGAAGAACAAACACATCTTTTTTTCCTCTTCTCTTCTCTGAGTTAGAAAGATAGCAGATATAAAAAGTGGCCTACAGATGGGAACTCAAGAGACATAGCTAAACAGCAATGATGAACACAAAGCCAGCAAATTCAGAATACAAATGAGAGTTGAAAAAAGGATGAGAAAGACTAAAAACATTCATCTTGAAGGAGAAAATGAGCAGTAGAAAGGATGCATACATTTGAAGAGAACTGAAGTAATTAATGGTGTGCACACAGATTTCCCATACATAGTTAAAAATCCAATTGAAAAGGCCCACCAAAATCTATATATAAGGGGTTTTCAGTCATTCAGGTCTGTCTAAAAACCAAACCAGACATCTGGAGATAGAAGCCTGCTATGGCCAATGTATCTGCTCACATGCCTCTACACTAAGCAGCAGAGAAGGATCTAGGAGTATTGTACAAGTATTTTCAGTGCACATACAAGTAAACCATGGCAGAATTTTATATATGGTTACTTCCAAGTGCTTTCCAGACAACTCCCACATAGTACCATTCCCTCCTTATGCATACATCTTACAGCAGGTTAAGCACTGATCTAGTCAACCGACCCAAAATGTTCTGTTTAAAACTCTTATCCGAGATTCGTAATTTATCAAGTACAAGTTTTAGAGAATAAATAAAGTTTAGGCGTTGATCTAGGTACAGGCATAATTGAATTCAAAAAGCTAAGTGTCAGTAAGTGTTTTCTTTAAATCTATTCATTCCTTCCTCTCTAGAATTTATATCACAAATGATGAAAAATAAACCAATTTTTAAGTGCAGTATGAGGAGGAAGAGAACTAGATGGGCAGTTTGTCAAATCCTTGCCTTCATCAGAAGTTAGATTGGTACAATCACTGAAGTGCAAGTTCAGTTGTTTATTTGCATAGGAAAAAACAGCCCCATAATACAACTGTTATCCTCAAGTTTGAGCCTATGCCAGGAGTTAGAGCAAGTCAGTTATTGTGGCTACAATCAAACGCGACACAAGCAAAAGAGAGCAGTACAAACTGTAAGCAGATCAAACCTTGACAAGTCTCCATCACGTATAATGCAGCTCTAGGCACTAAATGATAATGATGTAGATGTATTCAATACTGTCAATTCAGAACTGCAAAATACATAGTTTTGAATCACAAAGAAAAAATGTGTTTGAAATGAAATCTGATGGCTCAGAACACCATATTGTCAATGGTGGTTTTAATGAGCTAGACAGTGGTGCAAACTGTAGGCCAGAGCACAGGGATATTTCAACACCTAACTTTTCATTGATTCAATAAAAGCTTACTGAATACCAGAGTCAGATGCACCAAACCGGTAAAAATCTGGGCCTATGAATACCTTCCTGAAGTACTAACATGGCTGATCAATCAACTCCAGACAATACTCCAACCACTTTCTAACCTAAGGAATCTCTGAACTGGAACACTTCTCAAAAAGACCCTGAACCAAAAAAAACAAACACAACTCTTAGAGATACAATCTCACTTTAATATGCAAGACTTCACATAAATATTTTTATCTATTCACCTCAATATACTTAGCAAATGATGGCTAACGTAATTCTTTCTATAGTTGGGAAACAGACACGTTTTCTATCATTGTTATAATTACATCCGGCAGTAGCACTGCCAGTAATAGCCCACCCAAGCATTTTATTCTCAGTACCATGCCTCATCTACCAGGCCATACCACATGGTCAGAGGCAAACTCTTCCAACTCAGTACTCATGGAAAGCCACATAGCAGTAATGCAATTATTGCCTCCAACAGTTCCTTTCTTAACACATCACCTTTAGTAATTGAAGCAAAATGCTCTTTGGTTTGGGGGCAAAGAGATAATTCTTTTTTTTTTGCTTCCTTTCCGACTGACAATATGAAGGCTAAAATTCCAATCTACTATGAAAATGCATGTTGATTTTGTTTATTCAGCCTTTAACAAAGAGTTTCAGTCGAGTTTAAGTGAAACACTGGGATGCAATACAAAAGGAAATCTTCGCTGCCACCTAGAGGTAAAATCTTGAAGGAACAGAGGGAAAGAAAAATGCATCTCCTTTTTCCTTCCTCACTTTCAAAGTCAAACTCTTTCCTTTCTCAATGCATTAAAAAAAAAAAAAATTAAGTGCTACAAACTGAAACATCCTGATTTTAAAAATAAAAGCATGAAAGAGGTTTTAGACACTCAGACTACGTATCTCCTCTTTGGGAGTGACCAGTGTTAAATGCCTGTGAACGTTAAGTACAGGCACACAAGAGTAGAAAATCCAGCCTTTGGCAGCCTGCACCTTACGGCTGGAATCTTCACACATCTTTGTGTTTACCAGTCCTTGATCGATGCCCCGAATCAGTACAAATTCTCTCCAAACCTATTTATATCGTCACCTCAAAAACTGTCTGTCCCAATGAGTTTCATAGTTCATTGACAAGGGAAAACGCTTTTCACATACCTTTAATCCACCCTCAGTGGACGCCCCCTCAAGCATACTAGAAAATTGCCCTATTCACCATAATGTTACATTTCTGCTGTTTATTTTTCTCACCACCATCTATTTTCCAATCTTTAAGAGGCTTAACATATGTTATTAATCTTCACTTGGAAGTAATTTCATAATTGATAGTCTTTGCCACTTTTTTGCATTTTGGCATACCCTTTCTTGAGCTGTTCGGACAAAACCCAGCAAAACATTCACAATGTAGGATGGTTTGGATTCACACACTAAAAAATGATGGGTTTTGTTTTCTTCTATTCTTTTCCTAATAACTCCTAACTTGTCTGTTACCTTTTTATCAACTGTCAGTTCCTGAGCAATGAGGACAATTTACAGGGATTCCAAGACCTGTGTTCTGACTGACAATAAATGTCACTACTGTACATGACATTACATGTACTGTAATGTCACTCCTACATATGTTATTTTTCAATTGTTAACACTGAACTGACACACATTTTTTACTCACTAACATGAGTTACTGTCAGCTCTTGCTTCTAATATTCTCCCTGTTATACCATATGCAAATATTATAATTTCAGTACTGTCTTCCTGTGCAGTTTATGAATACGTTGAGTATCAGAGGTGTCTGTGAGATTCAGATGCTATCTCCACTATACTATTAAAAACTAGGTCACTGCTCTGCTACCTATCCATTTGCCACTTATTAACCTTGAAAATTTTCCTTGTTTTTCCACAGTTTGCACACAAAATCTGTTTTCACAAGATTCTTTTGTTAGAGACCACTATCAAGGGTTGTTTTTAAAACTTACCTAGGTCTTTCCCTCCCACATGGGTCTCATCATTAAACAATCCAATAGCATGTACCTATATAACAATATCTGACTAACAGACCTGAATATTATCCCTGACAAGAAATGTGGATGTCTTCACAAAATCAGCAACCACGTGAGCAAGCTTATTACTTAACTGACGTTTCTACACTTTTATCAGTTCAGCAGTTACATTCATGAATCTTCTGTGAAGCTTTACTCTAAAGCGGCATTGCGCCCCTCTAGCATCACCAACAATTTCAGTGGTGGATTGCACATCACTAACAAAGATTCTGCAATTTCAAAAATCATCTCCTTCAGAACTCCTAGAAACATACCACACTGTTCTGGGAGATTGTTACTATTTTATCTCTTTGTTATCAAACTCCAATTAAGCCCAGGCTGATTTTTGTCCTTCCTCATGATCCATTAAGCACATCTGTGATGTACAAACTTCCCCCAAATTCCTCCACATTGAACACATGCAATGATCTGATGTTGGTTCAGCTTTATACTGTTGAAAACCCCTGTCATACATAATTATCTACAGGTAAATGGCAAGCTTTTGATTTGTGATTGTTTTTATTTTTTTAAACTTGCCCAGCCAGATCATTACAGCCACTAGAGTTTTGATCTAGCTCATTCTTACTCATAATTAAGTCACCAGAATTCCAATTTTCTATTGTCCTCATTTGAACACAATTTCCATTTTGTTGTCTTTAAAAAAACCAAAAAACCATTAAGTGAAGTTCTTTTACCCTTAGCGTGACTGAAAAAGTTATATAAAAATGCTTGTGATGCAAAAAGTTTTTCTCATGAGTACAGTATGTTTAATAATCCTGATTTCAGATAATGGTACTTTTCAAACAAATTTCTTGCCTTTATAGTTCTTCACCCCTTTTCCATGCACATAATAACTTTTTTGGGCATATTTACATTTTTTGCAATTAAATATGACTACGATAATTCTGGAGGGGGAGCTGTCTCACAAATATATTGATTTTGTGTACACTGGTCACTGTCAAAGAATGATCTCTCACAGTAAAGTATGACTGAGGTATTGCCCTCTACTCAGGACTGAATCAAGATTTGCTTCTGCATGAGGAAGTTCTTTGATTATTCACCAGAGAACCCACACAGCTCAATACTTTCCACTGCATCACTCACCCAGCACCTAGGGCTGATAGTCAGCTGACAAACAGGAAACCCCTCTTATTTATACTCTGAGTTTCAATCCATTGAGATTCTTTGATATTCCCCAATCAAGTGGGTAAGTTAAATACAAAGTTTCTGTCTCATTACAAACAAGATAAAGAAAGTTTAAACAAACAGTTCTAAAAGCAGTGCATTCAGGTTTACAACTTGAAAAAAGCACTACAAAGCTGAAAACACTGTTTGTTTCTCCTCCCTAATGCATGATTTATTTTCTTCATTTATTTTCAGATTACCAATACGTTCCATCGTTCAATTCCAACTCGGATCCCCAAAGCAAAGCCTGCAAGCACAACCAAAGCACCTGTCAAAATTCCTGCTGGACAGCTCAACAAACCACTCCAAGACAGTCCTTCTGGAAAGATACGCATTGTAAGGACGGTGTCTAAAGCCTGCCTTCAAAGTGGAGGGAGAAGGTAAATACTTTTCTGTGATCTATGACATTAAAATGGATTTAAGCCATCTGAATCTCAGCAGCAGTTGCTTCAACTGGAGAAAAATCAGAAATCATCCACATGGTCAGCACATCAACAGTCACCAATCACAGGACATCAAGACAGCCAAACTCTTAGGAGCCAAAGTTAACTGCATGTCTGCAGGGACCATGCTCTGCTCCATTTTTATGATGCATTTCCAGATTTTGCCACTCACAGTACAGGAACACAAGACACAAATAAGTTTCTACGATAAATTCTGTTCTGACATGTTCTACAAATAACAGTAAGGTTATCTCAGCAGATTTACAAAAACATGGTCAAATCATATGAAGAGGGCTTGCAGAAGGTGTCATGTTTTCAAACTTGGTCTAGCCAAGAAGTGTCTTAGTATGGATATCCTAAGTTCAACATTAAGGGTGGAATGAAGAAAGGCATGGAAAAATCTGCTCTTGTATAATGCATTGAATTTAGAGAAATGCAGAGCTCCTTGCTGTGCCAAGCATGATGTGAAGATAAGTAGCTCTCTCCTCACTAGTGTGATTATCTCCACTCAATTCATGCAGATGTTATATCAGGAAAACAGATGTGAGAATCAAGATGGATATTGTTTGCATCAGCTATATAAACTTTCACCACCTAGACTACAGTATTTAGATTTCAGTTCACTTAAACAGTATTTTAGAACTGATCAAAATTAGTATCAAGCTTAACAGTAAGTTGTGGCTTACACAGAAGTGCAACTTTATTCTTGCATTCCTCCACAATTTTGCCCTTCCTTACAACTCCTCACATTCACTTAAAATATGTAACCAGATTCATTGCTCCTGGTGAAGGTTTGTTTTTGTTTTTTTTTTAACTGAATTTTTGCACAAGAAATTCTAGTTCATACATGAGAGAATTTGCCTTTTTGCTTTTCTTAAAGCATACCTTCTTTAAAACACTTAAAATTCAAGGTTTTCCTTCAGCCAATACACACACACACACACAAAAGCCCTCAAACAAAAACCACAAACCAAAACATCAGAAGAGACTCCATGCTTGTTGTTTCCAATTTTCTGAAAAATAGCAATTGTTGCTCTGCAAGAAAATTTCTCACTGTTCTATAGAATGTTAAGAAAGACTAACAAAGTACTACTACAGCAAGGAACCCCCACACAAGAATCCTGTAATACCAACTAACACTAGTTACTGCTTTAAAATATAAAAATTAATTTATTTCTCTGGTATTAATGTCTCACTCATTCTTCTTCCCCTAACAGAGTGCATTCCAACAGTCTAAATGGCTCAACTGATAATACATGGAAAAACTCCTTACACATAGGTGTTTCTTTAAGAACTGCCAAATCCTAATTCCTAAATACAGCAAAAGCTGGTGGTGATCACAGTGCCACAGCCAGAACTGCAATCCTTTTGCTGAATCAAGGAGAGATTCTGATGCATTTAGTTACCCAATTTTTCCCCTTCATTTCACAGCTAAAAGTTTAACTTAACCACTGAGACAGTACAACACACAGCACTGCTGTGTGACTGTTTTTGCAAACCCACAAGAAACCTATGCCTTCCTCAACAGCTTCACAAGAAATTCTCTAGAAATACTTTTTTAAAAGTTTTAAAATATCAGTCTACTTAAAAATTATTTCAGCTGCATCCTACAAGACACACCTGTGATAATATGCAGACATTAAAGAATGACTTTGCCACAAGAAAAATGAAAGGATTCCCATTTCATTCAGCTGTCAAGTTCTGAGAGTCTGTATCGTGTGTGCTCAGATCCCAACACAGCTCACAGAAGTACACCATTGCAACCTGCAGAATGAATGCACATTGATGTGAAGAAACAGAGATTTCAAAAAGCAGCTGTCAACTTGGCATGATTATCAGAAAGATGTTCAAGTACTGACCAAGTTCTATTACAAGGAACAGCAAGTCATTGACGAGCCAAAAAAAAAAGAGTCCAGCAACAGACCTCAGCTCTGATCAAACAGTGCTCCCACTGAATGCACTACAACGAGGAGTCTGCTTCTCAACAGCTACAAATCACACATTACAAATTTATATTAACTGGCACCCTTCACTACAAAGAAAGAAAAGAGAACCCCTGGCAAAAGAATTCCTGCAATAGCATCCTTTGCTTTAGAGCCCATACAGGACCCCACAAACACTGCCAAATCATCATCTATGGTCCCATATTATATTTCTCACCTATTTTTGCTGCTGAGATACAAGAGTTTTGCTCCTCTCTTGCAATGACACAATTAATTTTTACCTATGAGAGTCAGGCCCCTCATAGGTAGATCCTACTTAAGGATCTAAAACTGACAAATGGGGATACTACACTCCTATGGATTAAGGGCAATACAGAAAGCATGGAGAATGAAAGACAAGGAGAGGTAACCAAAAAGGAGGAAACTGGAAGAATTTCTGAAAAACAGAAGTCCAGCCCTCTCCCTCAAACTGACTGGGAGATGAGGCACGCTGGCTACAGGCAAGATCTGGATATTTATAGTGCTGCGAGAATTGCTCTTTGCTGTTCACAGAGGGAAGAGGAGAAAGTTGGGGTCCTTCACAAGTACGAAATAAACTCCTCCGAATTCCTTATCCTTTCCCTTGTAATTCTGAATGCAATATAAAAATCACATGAAAGTCTGGACAAAGTTGTGACACAAACTGGAAAAAAGGAAGGTAAGGAAGTCCTGCATGACGTGAGACATATGTAACACTAAACTACGCTGCTAAGGGGAGAATAATCCCTAACAGCTCCTTCCTCAAATCTCATCTCAAAGGTTTGCTGAAGATGTTATTAGGCAAGACTCTTTAGTTTTTGTCATGTGACAAGATACAAAGATGGGTAATCCCTTTAGCATTTTTTTGCCTCAGGTTTTGTAGGCTTTTTTTACACCTATAAATCATTTGCAGTAGGGTAAATATTCACATCTTAAGGTGAGAGTAATTACCTTTAATTTTTAATATGGACTCTAAAATGATGACTTCCAATGACATGGCCAAAAGCAAATTTAGAATTACATATCCATACATAAGGATATATATTTATATCTACTTTGTGTATTCATACTCTTTAGGTGGAGTGTATGAATGATGTTCTAATTACAATTGGCTAAAATCTAAAACACTTTTGAGAGCTGAATTCTGATGAATATGCTGTAGGTCACAGCTTATTCTAAGGTTAATTTTAAAGGATCTAGCAAAAGATCATTATTTCAAAAGTACATTTGAATTCTGCTTTGTACCTGCAGTTATGGCAGAGATGTTATTTTTAAATAGGTCAGCAAATGAGGTTGGATAATATTTTTCTAACAAAACTTCATTTTTCACAGAAATGAAATTGACCAAGTCTTGCAAAGGTGCTCACTAATGTGCAATTATTTTCTTGTATTGCTGCCTACATCATACATTGTGAGCCATGATTTCCTCTTTTATGCCAACTGATTTTAAAGCATTTTACAGTATCAATAAGATGCCATACAAATTAACCCTACATTTTACCTGTTTTACCTGAAAAATAGCTACACAAAATAAAAGTAACAGATGTTTTATGTTTACTGTTAGCTTGTGTCAACTTCATCCAACAACAGGCTCCATAAAAAGAGCCTGCCAACAAATTTACAAAGGTGGGCTGCAGACAGCGGAGTACATTGTTTGCACAACACTCACCTGTAATCACTACTCATAACACACTCAAAGCATGTTCCTGGAGTAAAGTTTACAGGATTGGGTTAGACACCTCCAGAGGTTATTTTCCACCTGAATTCTTTTAGTAACTCAAAAATGCTATTGCGAAAATCCCAAGTTTTTCATAACTGGAAAAGCTGTCATTCAGAGTCACACCTCAAGTCAGATGGTTCATCTCTCCTGTCAAAAGTTCATAATCAAAGTCCTGCTCTGTATCCAGTTTCTAAAGCAAAGCTGACAACATTGTAACAGTCTGCTAATCACGCACCCCAAATGAAAGCTGTGGTGGCAGAATGGGCAGGTAGGCTCTTAAGAAAACTTCCTAATGAAGAGCATTTACCATGGGAACTGGGACTGCTTAAGGAACCCACATGAGACTAAAAATAAAAATGAAATGCTCAGAAACCTAATTAGGTCTTGTGAGCCCTCTTTATTACATACATACAACTTTTATGGCGCTTCCTCTCTAACTATTCTCCAAGTACCTTTTCACAGGAAATAAGCACCAATTATCAAGACACTCAAAAAACTGGAGTCTTTGCAGAGGTGCAGATAACTCCCAGTAATGCCCAGCTCTTACCAATGTTGTATTAAAAACGAAATTTAAAAAAAAATCAATAAAAAAGGGCATGATAAAGTCTAAATTCATTCTAGTTGCCTAGATCTACCTAAATTTTCACACTAAATGTAAGCATTTAAGCAGAGAAAACGTTTTACAGCTTGAGGTTTCAAGACACATTGAAAAAAATACAAGCAGATGAGCCAGGTATCATAACCATCAGAAAAGACAAATCAGTAACAGCACCATACTCCAAGGAGCAGTGGCTGAAGAGAACTGTAACTCCTGCCCTTTTACAGTAACACATGGCCAGGGTGATGCGACACACGCCAGTGAGCACATGGGGGATGCTTTTCAAGTACCACAGACACTTTTCCCTCCAAAGGCTCTACTATGGATTTGCTGTTTCCTAGGCCTTACAGAACTGCAACTAAGGTCACGCCGCTAATGGCAAACACAATCACAGGATAGTATGAGGTGGAAGGGACCCACAAGAATCATCCATTACGAAAAGTCTTTCATCAAATAAACTCTTTGGAAGAAAATACAGTTTGGCAGGTAAATGAATGCAAGGGAGAGGTGAGCTCTGAATTCAAACCAATAGGCTTCCCCATTCCCCTCGCCCCGCTTTTAAAACTTCTCGTAAATGTATTTTTGTCAAGTGGGTTCCTGTTGTTACTTAGGTACTGGTATTTTCGTTTGCCGCTCCATCATCTATCCCAGGGCTCAGATCAGAGACTGGACATCACCTCGCTGCAGATTCTGCTTACAAGCAAACCCACCCTCGGTAGCAAGCAGGGAAAAGCAGGCACATGGAAAAAAGCGAGTGAGAGTGGAAAACCTGGAAAGTAAATTAAAAGCAGAGAAAGGAAAGGCGGAGAGGGGAAGTGGAAAAAACACCCAAAACCCAACGAAAATGAAGGAGGGTAGGAAAGGAGGGTGGGGGGGCTGGCTCTTAGGCAAAATGCTTCAATCCCAGCGTGAGGAGCGGGCTCCGGGAGAGGAGTACCTGGCGTGCCGCCCGCCCCGGGCTCGGTGTCCCACCACGGCTCCTCCAGCGTGTCGCCCATGCCGCCACCGCCGCCGCGCCTGCGCACTGCGCGCGGGGCCGGGCCGGGCGCGCCCCGCGCTGCCGGGGGACGGCGCTGCCCTGGGCACGGCTGGTGCCACAGCTGATACAGCGTCTTACACAATAGTCTTGTCAAAGATAAGGAGGCCTTTAAATGCGTGCTGGGGATTTTTAAACTTTTTTTTTTTTTTTTTTCTTTTTTTTTTTTTTTTTTAGTGGAAAATACAGAAGCGAGAGAAAGAGGAAAGGAATTAAAACTATTGCCCCAGTTCTTCACAACATTCGCTTAATTGCCTCAATCCGGTTTCATACTGTAAAATCCCAACTTTCTTGGTTGAGGTAATTCACGTAATCTTTTCTGAGGAACAGAGAGGTGCCTGCAGGGGGTGCGCGTTCCCTTGGAATGGGTGTTCCCGGCCCTTTGGCAGCGGAGCCCTCAAGGCAAGCGTGCCTATCCTGTATCTCTTCCCGCAGGAGCCGTCCCGCTCAGCCTGGGCCTTACCTGCTGGAGCACATCCCGAGTCAAGGCGTGGAAGTGAAACAGACCAGTGTAAGGACTGGAATCTCTCGTAAGGCGGCACTGTTACTCCGTGTCTAACACGCTCGAATGATTTTTGTCAACTTCCATTGAAGTATCCTATTTTTTTCCCCCTTTGAGGATGCAGGTGGATAGGGAACGTGCATAACAGAGAGCATTAGTGTTGTTCTGCCCAGGGTTGCTAATGGCCGTCACCAAGTGATTTTCAGCTCTTGGAAACTGCGTGAAACTTGTGAATTTCCGTACTCGCGGAGTACGTCTCACCTGTGGCACATTAAACACTGTGGGGGAAGTCACTTAATAATCAAACCCACATCTGGCAGAGCAGTTCAGCTTTATGAAAACCGAAAACATTCAAATCTCCGGCAGCGCGACGCCCCCTGCCCGGCTCCAGGGCCGCTCCGCGGCCACTCCCTCAGAGGCTGCCCCTGCCAGGCTTCCGCGCTTTGCGGCCCGCGCCCTCAGCCCGGCGGCGCCGGAAGGCGGGGACAGGAGCCGGGAAGGGGACGGGCTCCGGGAGGGGCGGCCTCGGGGAGGAAACACCTCCCGAGCGCGCTTTACGGCCGGGCGAGCGGGCACGTCAACAGCTATGGCGGAAGGAGAAGAGGCGCCGCCGCCGCCGGGCAGCTGGTGAGTTATGGGGGTGTGGGCGCCCTCCCCTCCGCAGCGGAGCCAGCGCAGAGAGGCCGGAGCGCCCCGCCCGCCGCCGCTCTCCCCCTGGGACGCGACGCGCTCGGGGTGTGTGCGGGGTCGCGCTGGGAGCCCGCCAGGAGCCCCCAGCAAACGCCGCCGGCCCTCGGCGGCTCCGGGTCCCCAAAGAGGAAGGGGCCCGTCAAAACACGGGCGAGACACAAAACGGGGGCCGTGCCCAGTCTGGAGCCAGGCGGTCGCTCCAGTTTAAAATGACAGCTTTAATATGCGGTAGGAGCTGCTCTGGGAGTCTGCCGGGAGTGGAGTTGCTTTGTTCAGTTCAGCTTCCCGTTTCTCTGCATTCCTGCTCTCAGGAACAGGTGACAGGAGTGGGTCCTGCCTCGTTTTCTGAATGATTTTGCTCACTGCCTTCCTTTAGCACAGCTATTACTTATAATGGATTTTACATTGAACCCCTAGGACAAGAATAGAGACTATTTCTGGAGCGTGTATAGGATCATTTTGATGGTAACAGTGATGTGATTTTAGTATTTGTTGCATGCGTATTCACTCAAGATTGCTGAGGCTTAAATAAACATTGTGTTTAAACACTGAAGCTATTCTTGCTGCACCCAACATCTCCATTTGCGTCTTCACTTTGTTTTTGTCTTTGCGCTTCTGCATTGCATGTGATTTCTTTCTGTGGCTCTGTGCCACACCATTGCTCTTTGTCCCTTCCACGTATACGCTTTTCAAGCAATTGCTTTGCAGACCTGCTTTTTATGATCATTTCCAGTCTGAGTTCCGATCATTTCCAAGCTGGTTTTGCTTTTAGGCTCTATTTGATGTGGCAGATTCAAAGTTAGCTGCAGACTGAGCCTAGCCTTCTTTGTGCTTAGTTAGGTCACTGCAAAGAAGCCAGAACACACACACAGGTGTATGTGTAAACTCTTCTTTGTCTAGTTTGGTTTTACAAATACAGCTCTTGGTTAAAACAACTTTGTATCATTAGCTAGAAAGTTAGTTGGTGTCATTTTTTATTCTTGTGTTTTTTCTTTTATTTACAGCCTCAAAATTTATGAAGCTCTTTCTGTAAGCACAGTGTTGCATAAGCATTATTTCTAAATAAAGGCCTGACTATTGGGCCATTTAATTACAAAGCGAGGGATGGACTCCCTGACAGTGCACTCTCGACACTTTGAATATAACCCTGGACATTAAATAAGAACCATACCTCAAATACCTCTGAAAAAAATATTTCAGATGGCTTCCATTACTAATATTGGAATAATATTGCTGTCTCCCAGATCACAATCAACTTCTCTAGAATTTTTGTTAAGGATGAGAATGAGTGTGTGTTTCCGGACACATTTCAAGGCACAGCCTGCATTGTTGATATTCTGATTGGCAGCTTCAAAACTATAGTCAATTTTATATGCTGATGGTACTAGAAAATGCAAACTTGAAGACATTTGTTAAAACAGATTTAAGTCTTTATGGGAACAATCAAAGAGTTGTGCTTAAACGCTATATTAATATGTGACACTGCATCCTGTTACTAGAGGTATACACTGTGAATGACAGAATTGCATTCCTTATTGCTTGCTTAGAAACTTCACGTGGCTTTTGGGTTTTCCTGTTTTGGTTTTTGTTTAAAAACCAGTTTCAGTGAAGTATTTGCTTTTTCATTTATGGATTTAAAGCGTTGTCTTGTATTCATATTTCAATGCTGTGAGCACTTGTTGAAAGAGCTTTTTGATGTAAATTACTACACTATCACATTTTGAAGTATATAAGATTTCAAATTTTAAAAATACCCAAACATATAATACATATGTATGCCTGAGCTTTATTGGGAGCAAAACTGGCAGTGCTGATCCTGTGTCCTCTCTTAACTTCCTTAGGAGGATTAAAAGGCAGATGGAGTTTTGCAACAGCTCAGAGGCTGTTGCTGCACCTTGAGTGTGTAGAATCCAGATGTCCTCACTAACATAAAATTCCCTCTTTGTTTTCCTTGTGTTAAGTTGTCATGTGGTGCTAGTACAAATGATGTGGGTGAGGGGGAAGTGTCACA